TCCTGATTGTCTGTCTGTGACGCTTGGCAATCACATCCCTTCCACTCAGTGACATTCAACTCCCAAGTTCGATTCATCCCCGTTGCTCCATCACGCATCTTCCCATCTATGCAATCTGACGCGGTTTATTCTGCTCGTTTATCGATTAGAGAATCTGACCCCCACCCACCATTATTGGCCTTGCAGAGTCCCCCCCCCCTTCCGAAGTTTCACTCTGACAAGGGTTTCAAATCGACACCTTTCAACTAGACCTCCCCTGGCTTTGTCCCTTATTTAACCCTCTCGCGCCCATGAGAGTCCTAAACCTATTAAGTGGTTAATAATTTATTAGGTAAAAAACAGCTGGATGTACTTTTCCAAAATATAAGATAAAAAACAAATAAAATAAAACCTACATACAGCAACAGTGTTTTGTGTTGTGTAGGCTCCTATGATGTAAGTAATGGGCCCTGCCTGCGATATAAAGGGCCCCATTACCTTCAGTAGTTTAGGGCCTCATCAAACCTAAATCTGGCCCCTGGCAATACACCACCAATGCTGTCTCTGGTTTGCATAGTGGTAGCTTGCTACCAGAACGTGCTTTCCCCATTCCAGTTAGGTCTCCTAACATGGTTTCTTTTCCCTCGCCCAGTTTTTAACATCTCAGGCAAGACCATAAGTCAAGAACTCTCTACCTCTGTCTCTCTTTTTAATGCGTCCAATCAAGCATCCGGTGCAATCCTATGCGCGCTTACTCGGAGGTGAGGCCCACTGAGTTCATCCTATGCACACCTCAATGCAATTGGACTTGCTTATGGGTTAAGGCGCGGTGTGTAGGATCGCAGTCTCAACCAGGGAGTCATTCCTATTGAACCCAGTACAGCTTACAGCAGAGAATTACACTGTGCATCCGGCTCAGCCCGACCCCTATGCGTTTTTATTTGGATGTTGACTAAATCCCAAATAAGATAGTGTGCCGTATTGGATTATCACCTAAAGTAGCGATCCTAGGCGTGCTGAACCTGAAAGGGGAGAAATCTCAGTGAAACAGGACCCTGTTCCAAGGAAATATGCTTCCTTTGAGCTTTGTCTCTGGAGATGCCCGGAAACGTCGAGGCTCCTGGGCGCTATGCGCAGCCCGATCCTATAGACACTTAATCAGAAGAAAGTCCTACGGAGTTCAATGGTGCCAGACGTGTGGGCATTAAGGGTGGCAGTCTTACGGATAGGCCCTGTACGGGCTTAATCGGAGGTAGCTCCTGCTCACGCCAGAGTAACCTCCCAAGGAAGAGTTACTTACTTCTATGCAACCCTGTATGCAGTTGAGCACAGGGGTGCTTGAACGCCCCCTTTCCCTTTCTCGTAACTCTCCCGCTTTCCTAACCTCGCAGTCTTTTTTCTTTTCACCTCCACCCACTTCTGTACCACGAGGAATCTCTAGCCCTCCAACCAACCTATGAACTCGAGAAGATACCCCTTGACAGCCTTGCGTTGTCTCCAGTCAAATCTGGCGTTGGAGTTGAGGTTTTCCTGAGTTTATCCCCTTGTCATAAATCATTAAGTTTCTAGCCCCCGCCATCCCAGCTTCCCCCTCTTCCTCTTTAAAAGGCTCCCTCCGAACAAAAAAACTGGGATTGGGAAAACCTCCAGCCCACATGAAAGGCAAGAGGGGATCCTTTTTTGCTTCAATTAAAAGAAAACAAAACAACCGCGCCTTTCCCTTTAATTAAACACACAGTTTCTTTTGCAGGAGACCAATTTGGCGCAAGGCAGCGCTGCTGCTGTTCCGATTTTAGCCCCTCTGGCTACGCAGAAGAAGGGCATCGCTGCAACCCGGCGGAACTGCGCACAACATGCCTCTACTCCCCCCCCCCCGCTCCAGTAACTCAATTTTATTTTTTATTTTTTAAAAAATTAGCATCAAGAGCATGTCTTTTGCAAAGAGTGTGGCGGTGCTAGGAGGGAAAGCGTGTTTACCAGCCGGTGGGGATGCAGGCTGATAGAGAAGGGAGGAGGGGGAATAATAGATTTAGGGCAAATTTCAGAAAGAGGCACAAATCCTTCCCTAATTGTTTTATTAGAGGGATCAGATTAATACTAAACCTCCGTGTGAACAGTACTCCCTGGAGAAAGCTCCTCTCCTCCCCCGCCACCCTCCTCCAGGGTCCAGGAACGGTAAACAGCACCGAAATTGACACAAATCTCGTTGGAAGTGGAAAGGATTTCAGCACCCTTCCTCGATTTTTTTTAATGGCAATAACAATCGATTAGACACATGCTAATTGGAGACCCAAATGCCTAATCGTTATGACAGCTAATAGAGTTCTTTTCAAAACAATGCCTTTCCGAGGGTATTATATTTGCTGTTAGTTATGAGAAAGGTTTCTCTTCTTTTTTTTTTATTAAAAAAGGCTGTTAAAAATATAATTTATTTCAAGGTTCCCTACTAATATATATACGGTTTTTTTTAAAAAAGGCAAACCCTCTCTGCCTTTTTAAAGGGGATCCCACGTAAATGGAGATATAAACAGCAAAACATTAAAATCACACATGCCTGTTAAAGAAAATCCTTAAGCTTATCGAAAGGGGCTTGGTTGGTTTTCCGAAGCAGAAGATCTCTGTGCTAAAATACATCAAATGGATCCTTCCCTTTACGCACTGATTCTCAGCCCTCCTCCTCTCCATCTTCTCTCCCACCCCCCACTCCCAAATCTACTTAAGCAGTCCCCATTAGGTAGTTCAGACTACAATGATCTCGAGGGCAAAGGGAGGGATTCTGCAAATGAGTGTGGCAGTCACAACAATTAACATGAAGGAGGAAATAGGATTCGAATTAGGAGGAACAAGATCAAAACTTCACAAATCGCCCCTTCAACGTCCTCCAGGTCCCGAGCAGCCGCCTCGGCAGAGAGGGGGCGTGTAGTTTTGTAACACAACTCTGACAAGCACACCTTTACGTAAAGGTAAGCTCCACTCATTTCAATGGAAACTTGCCCTATCCCACTGATCTGAATAGAACCGATTCCAACTATAGTCCTCTAGGAATTTGAGAATGAAGCCCCTTTTGAACAGAGTGGGGTTCTCTTCCGCATGTCCCATGCAACACTATGTGCCCCATTGTGCCCCGATGGGGCTTACTTCTGAGTAAACAGGCGTAGGGTCATGCCTCGGAAACCCTACATGTTTACTCGGGAGCAAGACCCATTATGTTCAGTGGATAGGAATAGGATTGCAGACCTGGGATCTTAGAATCCAAAGCAACACCCCATGTTTTTTATGAGAAAGAGGAGCTGCCTCCTTTTTCTATGTAATGCACTTGCTTCTAGCTAGCACCGTAGGGTCTCGTTTCTCTCGCTCCTTCCCCTCGTACTTTTCTAGGGGATTTTGTACTTCAGGGGGGTTTTGATTACAGGTTGCAGGAAGGAAGTAGTGTCACGAAAATATGCCACATTTGCTTATTCCACCTCAATTTTTGAAGTAGTCTCGTCACCAGAAGCCGTTTATCCTTGCACACATACCCCGATGTCTTAGGAAGAGTTGAAAACGTTCTTGGGGAACGGATGAAGGATAGGACTGCACTCATGGGCTATGATATTCCTAATGTACCTTTCTCGTGTGCTTTTCGGGCGACTTAAAAACAACAGTAATTCTCCCACAAGATAGAAAGGATGCAAAGAGCACAGTTATTGGGAAGACCTGTCTAACTTAACGGCAGTTGCTTCCAAGTAAAACATGCAAAGCATCACGCTAAGAGTTTGAATTTTCCTTTTGCACATCACTGATTTAAAAACGTAATAGCAAGCTCTTTATTTCACTTTATCATACTAGTAACTACACATTGTTACTGGTAAGGATGGTTTTAGTTATATGTACTGTGCCCATAACGTGTGTGTGTTTTTTTTAATGCAGCCATAACCTATGCTTGTGTACTTGAAAGTATGTACCATTCAGTTCAATCGAACTTACTTTTCAATAAATTTAATGCACTCAAGACAGCAACCTTAAAATGGTAGGTGAATGGGTGGTTGTAAGTGTCCACCTTTCCATTTTTGCTTCCTAATTCAAGATGCTAGAACTCATTACTATTCCGTCCTGAGAACCGGGAAACTATGTAGCTTTGTTCATATTGGATCCCTTTCTCTCTCTCTCTTCCTGGATTACCGATTTTAGCGACTGTGTGTGTGTCTGTGTCTAAAACTGTAAATAAACAAGCAAAAAGCACACCCACACAAACAAGCTCCCCCTTTTCAGCCACAAAACAATTGTGTATGTATAAGCTTCCCCCTCCTCTCCAAAAAGGGGGAAGTCTTAACAAAGCAGCCCTAGAAAAACATCCTTGTTCCAGATTTGTCTGAAGATGTTCAGATAACTATTATTTGCCCTCTCTGGAGAGGCTTCCTTGGGGAGGGGGAGAGTGAATTAGAAACCTCCACCCCTTGGAATAGCAATTCCCTTTCCGCCCTCATCTCTTTTTTCTGTCTTTTTAAACTCAGCCCATCTCAGATAATAATAAATAAGAATAATAAGCGACGCCAGGAGAATTGGGGAAGAGGGCAGTTATCAGAGTTAAAGTGATTAAAGAGCAAACAATTAGGAAAGAGATAAGGGAGCCTTTCTTGGTCGAGGGGAGGGGGAGCCACAAGCGCGCATTGCTACCTAACCTCTTCCCTTCCTTTTTCAGCTACACCTTGGCTTTATTCTCACGCGGGCACCTTTCCCTTGCGTGGAACTGGATGGCTGAAATTGTTTTAAACTTGGATTGCTGGGATGGCTTCGGGTGCATCTAATAAGGAGAGAGCTTCCATCCCACTCCCGTGCTCTCTAAGCTGGGTTTAGGTTGTTTTTCCTCCCCTCCTTCTCTGTATGGATACATTTCCTTTTTCCTCTCCCTCTCTCAAGAGCGTCTATCAATGCGCTGTCAATCAAAGCGGCGGCTTCTCTTTCATCTTCTTTCCTCCCGCCCCCACCCTTTCAACAGGGCGGGCGAGAGGGGGAGAGACAGAGAGAGGAGGTGGAGAAGAAGTGGGTGGAGGGGATGTTAAAGTTACATTACAGAGGGAGCCAGAGAGAGAGGGAGAGACACACAACTGGCTTCCCACTTCACAAGGCCCCGCGTCGGCGAGCTCATCCTAGCTGAGCTGCTCCAGAGCTGGCCGCACGCGCTCACACGACCGCGGGAACACGTGTCCGAGCCGCCAGAGGAGCCCAGCAAGCGCCTCAGGCGAGAGAGAACCCGCTCACCTCTCCCGCGCGGGAGAGGGAGAGAGAGCGCGTTTGCGTGCGCGCACCTGGCTGGATTTCTTTGCCGCGCTAATTGGGCCGCGGCGGGGAAGCTGCGACACCTGGACGGAGAAGTCGACGGAGAGGACTCGCCCTTCTCCCCCTCAGACTTCGGCAGCCCGACCCCGCACACTCCGTTTTGAGAAGCGGGGGGCCCTGGAGGAGCTCTCGGCGTTTCCATCTTCCTGAGGGAGCTGACTTTAAAAGTTTCATTCGAGGAGACACTCCCACCCCCTTTCCTGTCACGCAAGAACTTCTTCACTCGAGGGATTTTTCCGGCACCACTTCTTCAAGAGAGAGAGAGGCGAGGACAGCGAGCAGCCAAAAGGAGAAAGAGGGGCGAGAAGGTGGGGGGGGGACCCTCTTCCGTAGCCAAGGGACAAAGGCAGAGTCGTCCTGGTGTGTGTTTGTGTGTGCGCGCGCGCGCGCCTTTCCCTCCTTCCACCTCTCCCACCCCAAGCGGAGGTGTCTCTCTGGCGTTTTCTTCCCCATCTCCAAGTTACCACAGAAAAGGGTGGGGGGGTGGGAGAGCCTCTTTCAAGCCAGCCAAGCCCCCACCCACCTCTCTCTCACAGCTTCCAAACATCCAAATAGTGCTGTTACTTTTTGGAGAAGGAAAAACCCGGACAGTCGTATTGATTTATATCCAAGAACGTGGCGCAGGAATAACACCGGGGTCAACGAGAAGCCCACAGAGGTCTTCTCTCCTCTTGTTTATCAAAAGAGGGGCGGGGAGGGGGAGGCCAGAGGAGATAAACGCCTCTACGGGAAGGGACGCGGTCTTGCCCAGACTTTCCTGTCCCTCTTCGCTGCAGACACAACAGAAACCGGGAGCGGAGGGGTGACGCCTCTTCTAAAGGCAGCCGGGCCCGGCCGCGCTCGAGCCCTTTCCTCTTCTCCCCTCCCCCAGGTGTTTGGGTCTGGATGGCATGGAGAGGGGCGGGCGAGGAGGAGGAGGAGGAGGGAGCTGGGCTTAGGCGGCGAGGCGCGTGGGCTGCGCGGCTCGAGAGCCGGGAGAAAGTGATCGCCGAAGACTTTTAACTTCCCTCGTTCCTTCTGTTCTCCTCCTCCTCTCCCTCTCTCCCTGCCCTCCCTTCTTCCCTTTCCTTCCTCTCCCTTGATTCCCGGGGTGGAGCAGCCTCTCCGGAGCAGCCACTATGCCTCAGCTCTCGGGAGCCGGAGGAGGCGGCGGCGGCGGGGACCCGGAGCTTTGTGCTACCGACGAGATGATCCCGTTCAAAGACGAAGGCGACCCCCAGAAGGAGAAGATCTTCGCCGAGATCAGCCACCCGGAGGAAGAGGGCGACTTGGCCGACATCAAGTCGTCGCTGGTGAACGAGTCGGAGACGATCCCAAACAGCAATGGGCATGAGGTAGGTATGGAGAGAGAGAGAGGGAGAGATGGGCACAAACGGTTGGGGGTCTGTGCGAAGGGCAAGGGCGACGCGCACAACAGCTGGCGGAATAGCGCAAACTTTCCGGGAAGGGCGACGGTCAAGTAGCAGCAGCAGCAGCACAATAAAAGTTGTGCACAGGGAACAATCCGGTTTCACTCTTTGGGTGGGCTTCGGGGTGGGTTGTGGGGGGGGGAGGCTTCGTCTTGATCCTTTTGCCCTCTTATCTCAAGCAGTAAATCAAGCAGTAAATCAGCCTGAGCTTGATAAAGTCGCTGGAATGCGTTCGAGTGGGTGGCTTTGCTATTCTGGGGCTAGAGAAAAGGATGGGGGGGGGGTCGGGGGTGGAAGAGTAGGTTTCTGGCAAACTCAAGACTACCGCTCCTTTTCAGGGATTTTGGGGGCTGTTGTTTTTTTCAAGTGTAGAAGGGTTTTTCTTTCTTTCAGGCTAGCTAAGGAAAGGGCGTGTGTGCGCGCAGCGTGGAAAACGGGAAACTGTAAGCCGCCAAGTGGGATACTGTTTTGACCACGGCGCTTTGAAAACCGATACTCCACAGTTCCCCATGAATGAGTAGCGCTTGGCGCGGCGGAGGAGGGAGTGGAGTTGAAAGCTCCGCTTGCTGCCTTGGAATTGGGGGTGGGGGCAGGCAGAGCAGTTGAAGAGGAGCGGTTGTATTGTTGTGAAGCTACTCTTTAATTTTCCTGTTACCTTTCCCCCAGTTTAAACCCATTTTCTGAGTTGTGGGGAGGCATGTATTGGGGTGCAAGTATGGCTAAACTGGCCTCCGTTGGTTTTGTTCCTTGTGCGTTTGCAGATGGCTATCGTGGCTCAAACGTAAACCTGGTCTGAGATTAAAACTTGAGTTGGGTGCCGTATTCCTTACATTACCATGGTTACTCTTGGTGCCCTGCCTCGCTGTGATGCAAATAAGAGTACATAGAGACACGTGGGTGGTTAGGTGGCAGCTCCCTAACTCTGCAGAGATAAATGAATGTAGCATGGGCAGAGCAAGAAAAACACTAGAAAGTTAACTTCCTGTACATTTTTCAGTGAGAGATTTTTGGGAACAGTACGTCACAACAAAGTTCAGACTTTTTTCTAAAGGCAAACCACAGGTTTTAGGGCTGTGCTGCAGAAAACCAGCGAGGAGCCTTAAGTAGACAGACCTATGTATATTTGTTGCCAAAAGAAATATCTGCAGGCTGAACTGACTCATGCCTAGATCAGAAGTTTGCTTGCTGTGAAAAGACAGAAGAATCAGAGATTTTGAGCAATTTAAGTAAATGGTTTGGGGGGGCAGGTTACCTAAAAGATTGACTCCACCCTTTCATACCTGCATATACTTTTAAGTTATTCATCAGAGGATGGAGAGGGCCTTTTCTGTGCTGGTACCCTAGCGATGGAATGTCTTCTCAGGCTTTCCTGCTGCCTGCATTAAAGTATTTTCAGCACCAGGCAAATACTATTTTTCCTTCTCCCCAGCAATTTTAAATTATTTCTTACTGGGTCTTCTGTTTATGAATGATGATAGAATGCTTGCGGAAATTTTTATTGCTCTTAGTATTTTATCAGATGGTTATTGTTTTTGTGATCTGCCCAGATGACATGGTTAATGGCTGGTCCATCGTGGTTTTTTAAAGAAACTTTATTTTTGTAGCATCTGTGGCTTAACTGTGGCTTGCAAATTGAAAGAGCTCCTTTCCACCATTGCTTCTGGTGTTATTTTGCTATAGTGGTACCTTAGGAACCTAGCCAAGGTGCTGCACCCTACTACTAACAGTTGGGGAAATGGTCCCAAGTACACTTAAGTCAACTAAATTTCACTAATGATCAATACCACTTTACAGTGAAGGGTTTTGTTTTCTGAATCCTTCAGAGTAAGGTGCATGGAAGTCAACAGAACTTGTTTCCAAGAAACGACTTTCTTCCGGCACACTGAGAAATGACTTGCAAACCTTCAATGTTGGGTTGTGCATTAAAGGTTTAGTTTGAATTTCAATGTTTCTGGATTGCCTTTTAAATTTGTAGGAGCTTGCATTGATTCAAATGGAGTTGAGGTCTTTGAAATGTATTTAGTTACTTAATGCGTACCGGTGTGTGTTATTTGCAATCATTAACTATATATTCCTTATTGGGCAGAGTATTTCCACATTAACTTTCCACATTGGGCTGTTGCAATGTGCTATGTAGGGCTGCTCTGAAAGACTTACCAAAAACATCCAACTGGTTCAAAATGCTGGGTTGCTGCTAGAACTCCTATAACCTCTGTTCTAAAACAGCTGCATTGGTTTACCTATTAGCTTTCAGGTTCAATTTAAGATGCTCTTGGTTGGTAATATATGGCGGGGGGGGGGCTCCTCTTGGTAGTTCTGTTGCCCTAAAAAGTTCAGGGAAGTGGTGGTCTAGAAGAGGGCATTCTCTGTAGCACCCCCTAAGTTCTGGAGTTTGCTCAGCACATAGGTGTGTGTGGCATCTTCACTATACACCTTTCAGTGAATACACCTCTGCCCTGGCCTCGGCACCTGAAACATGTGTTTTCAGGACCCACTGTGTTCCTATGACTCTAATTTAAACTGCTTTTAATCCTGGATTTGAAATTGTTGTAACTTGCCTTGCGACCTGCTGGTGAAGGGGAGGTAATGAATTTAATGATAATGATTGTGAGTCCATATACCCCCCCCCCAAATATTGTAATTCATTATTTTCCATGAGTATGGAATGCAGTGTGAGTGCTTTCTTCCCTAAATCAGTTTTCATGGCACAGGAAAAGGCAGGTTTGTATGAATCACAGGATCATATAATAGCATTAGGCCTTAAGAGTAGCCATGAAATTTCTCGGGTTAAAATCAGCAAGGTCAGAGCATTAGTCATAAACTCTTTAAAGGATTTGCATAAACTGTTGGGCAACTTACCAACACTGAAACAAAATAGGGATTTATTCTTTTTTATATATAAAAAACCCAGGATAGTTCAGAGATGCCCACAATATATTTTTCACTAAAATGAGGTTTGTGCGAATTAAGGATAGTGGAAGCTATTATTGTATCACTATAAAACGAAATACTAGCAAAGTGGTCAAATTAAACAAAAACATAAAACATTTTGTATTAAAACACACTATCCTGTGGATAGATAGGTAGAGAGATGGGAGACATAGAAGTGTTTATGTGGGATTTGGACATTATGATACATTTTTATTAAGGGAAGATATAAGGAACAAAATAAGGTAAAAATGGATGGAAATGTAATAATGGCATGTGATATATATTCTTTGTCCAGGTGTCCAGGCAAGGCCAGTCTCAGGAGTCGTACCACGAGAAAGGCAGAGAACACCCTGAAGAAGGTAAGACAGATCTTTCCTTACACAAGTTATAGATTTTGCCCCAATTCATGCTTTGCTTGCATGCAGGGCATTTTTGTATTGACTGTGGGTTGTACTTTTAGCCCCACCCACAACTTCACAACTCCTTCCTGCAATTGCTGCCATTGCAACTATTGCGCGGAAGCACTTTTGCTTGTATGTTAGGGGAGAGGCAAAAAGTGCAATCCTTCTCCGCAGTCCTTAAATAAATGCCTTGCACCCTCGCATCAAGTAACAGTAGATCTGGATGTTGGTTATTGAGGTCAATCTGCATGCAAGTGTGTGAGTCTGGTCTGCACTGGGACATGTGTGTGTGTGTGTGTGTGTGTGTTTGGGGGTAGTGGGCTTAACTTTTTGCCACCCACTATGACTTTGGGGTCCCTGGTGCCTGCAATTTTCCATAGGGGCTGGAAGCACCCTTTGGCTCCAGTAGCAGATTTTTTAGATGCAAGTTGCAATTGCAGGCAGCCTGACCTGGATCATAGTGGGTTGCATGCCCCCAACCCAACTGTGAGGGTCTCAACTGGAAATACCCACATTGCCATTCAAATATAAATAAAAAAAGCTTATACTCAAAAGGCAAGCGACTAAGTAATGTCACATAAAGCCTGGCCCCAACTAATGTTAATCTTATGGTTTTTCCATGTGAGCCACTTTTTGTGTTGTGCCATTTCCCACAAATCAGTCCTGTGTACAAAACATTTTGATCAATTCCTATGGTATGAATATTTATTTACTGTAGCACCTATGTGCTTCTCTCCCACCGGTGACTATAGGTAATTGTATTTGCTGGCTTCTCTTTCAGGCTTTTAAAAAAAGTTTAGAAGGAGTTATTTTGGCAAGTACTCACTTGTTCTATAACACGACGTAGGAAGCATAATTCAAGCAGCACAGTGGTTATCTGCTAATTAACCAAATATTTTGGATGCCCCCCAAGCCACTAGGTTAGATGAGGGTTTTGTTTTTTTCCAGTGAAGCTGATTAGATCAGCATGATTCTTACTGCAAATACATATCAGTTTCAGTTAAATTCTCAATATAGAAATGTGTTTTGTTTGGTTTTTTTTGTCACCAGGGAATGGTAGTGAAGGGTTGAGGGGAACTCTGTCAGTAAGACTTGTAACATGGAGTCTGTAAAATTCAGCATTTCATTTGATTGCAAAATAGCCATTATTATTTAAATTACATATTAAGCAGATTAGAAATGGAACCCCCTGTGTTGAATAGGCTCACCATTAAGCAGCAGGTGTTGTTGTACAGAAGGCCTAACTCTCTCCCTTATTAATTGCTTCTAATTGGCATGGTCAGAACAAACTTTTTCCTGCTGCTGGTATAGACTACCAGAAGGAAGCCTTAAAAAGAAAAAGGAAAAAAAAACCACCAAAAAACTAGTTATAATGTCCTAGTTCTTAACTGGAGAACAGAACATGCAGGACACTTTCCTCTAAAGATTAACCTGTTCTAAGATGTGGTTGTAAATGGACGTATTCAAAGTTTTAATATCTGTGATGCTTAGTGGGCTGAGCTTTCTCTTGCCTGGAAGTTTCATATCTTCAGATATAGCAGAACCCATTAAAATGTGGTGGTCTAAGGTATACTTTAATGCAGTCCTTTTACTAGGTCTAAGAACTTAAAGATGCAAACCTTGAGCAGAATGCACCCCCCCGCCCACCTTCCAAAAAAAATGTAGGGCTGCTGGAAGAATGAGTGTCATCTTATATAGAGACACATTGGAAAATTAAGTGACGGGGCTAAATCAGTAACTCTTGCTTTTTACAGGGAAACACAATGATGGTGGCTTATATAGTAAAGGACCTTCTTACTCTGGTTATTCTGGGTATATCATGATGCCAAATATGAATAATGATCCATATATGTCTAATGGATCTCTTTCTCCACCAATCCCCAGAACAGTAAGTTTACTTTTTAAAAAATATATTTGTATGCATGCATATGTACACTCACAAATCATTCTTTGGAAGTACGAGCTTTGTTTACTGATTAGCAAGCCTCGGTTTTGGCAGCATTTGAGAGGAATGCATCTTACTGCTAATTAAGGTGCTGAGAGTGCATACCTGATCCTTAGGCTCATTTCTAGCTCTGTATATGCTTTCTAGGAATCTTGTAGAGTTTACGGTAGAGCATAAGAGGTGAATCATACAGAATGGCATGGTGGTGCGAACCCATTGGCAAGTGGTGTATGTTTGTGGTACCCATTATGAACTTGGCTTCCCTAGGAAGTTGCAGGTGGTTGCTAGAGGAGGTGGATGCTCCTCTTAGTGTTTGTCTTGGTTGGGCTGAAGAGGCTGAGTTACAGTCTCAAGCCAGCCTATGTTGAACCATGCAACATGGCAGTAATCCTTTTGTATCAGAATTGGTGATCAATCTAATAATATATACAGGGTCTTGCAAACTTTTTTCTGCATTAACACCCTTTTTCTGAGATAATGCATTCTCAGTGCCCTTGTAGCCCTCCTAATGCCGCCTCCTAACTTTAATAATAATAATAATATCTGTATAAGGGATGTTATACCTCCTTGATGGTCTCAGTAACCTATCAATGATAGCTGTAGTTTTCTAAAGTAAGTTAGGTTTTTCTTTTTCATTGAAAGCTACTTAAAATATGCTAACTTCTCAAAAGTCCTAAATTCTATCTTTTTTCTCTCTTTGTTGGACATTTTCTAGAATACATGAACATGCTATTTGGGTTTACTTAATTATTATTATTTTATTAACAATAATTGTGTAAGAACAAAAAAGCAATCTAATTTTAAGGGCTGTTGCATTAGACTGTATTCCTTATTGTAAGTGGTGAGTGGATTAAGTGAACCAGCTACCTCTGAGTCCCCAGTTTGAGACCCCAGTTTGCATTCCTTTTTACCTCTGGTGCTGAAATTCAGTACATTTTTCATATAAACATGAAACTGTTAACTTTGGCATGTGTTGAGTGTTTTCAGTGCATGTATTTACGCAGATAGAACACTGGGATTGGCTGCGTCTCTGTGACAAATATGTTTGGTGGTGAACATGATTTATGACTTTGTGATTATTGAAGTGACCCTAAAGTTCCAATTCTGTGCTTACTTATTTTAGAGATGGTCCCACTGAAGTAAGTGGAGCTTCAGAACAAGCGTAATGATTGCACTGTCTGTCTGAGGACTCTTGATGTAAATATCCCTCTCTTGTCAATTGAAAGGATGACGATGACTATAGGGGTTAGGATCTATAGGGACATATATTCTGTGCCACTGACCTTGAGTGAAATGGACAGATAAAACTGGTTATATATAGTGCATTTTCTTCTTCTTTTTATAAGTATGCATTACTTATGCTTCTGAACATGAAGGAAGTATGTTAATCTTTGCAAGTTCTGGAAACAAGCCAAATAGTTAAAGATTCAGTATGTGAAACAGCTGAGATCCAAAATTTTATTAAAGTTATTTCCTGGTTGAGTGCATCTCGTTCATGTTTGTGACTGGCTTATTCTAGAGGTTAATAATTGCTTTGGCTATCTGTATTTGGCACATGCACCTGAGAATACAAATAGTGTACTAGTAAGTTGTCATTGCATTTGTGTTTATTGCCTCATAAACTTCCAAGATGGTTATGGAAGGAAATAACGTACACATATAATCTAACACTAGTTGTATATAAATCATCAAACACTGGCAGAATCCTGTTGGAGGAACCAAGGCTTCCTGGATGTTCTAAGCACATAGTGGTGTTTAATACTAGAAAAGGGAAGAGTGTGTGTGTGTTAACAACATGCAAAATAACAATGTGTTTATAAACACAGAGATAGTTTTAATAGCAAACTTTAGGAGCTTACATAAAGCACTATTGTCAAAATAGAGTTACAATGATGGGAATATATTTTTGGCTTTCTGAAACAAAATCTTGCTACAGAGCGAAACAGTTACTTGAAACTGCTGTGCATTCTGCTTCGTTACCGTGTCTTGAATAAAAAGGCAGATGATTGACAAAATCGTGTGTTTGGGCATTTAATTTTTTTTGAAGTGTATTGTGCATAAGAAATGAGAGGAGAACTTATCAGAAGTGAAAATGAAGGACTGTTCTTGCATTTTAGCTCATTTTCTGCCCTGTTGACATCAGGTTGGTTTTGTCTTGCCACATTGTGCTTTAAGTTATATAAAGGTCTGTGCCTTTGTGGGTATGCTTATAATGGTATTCGGTGATCGAAATTTTAAAACAGAATATTCTTGCACAACTTCCAAAACTTGTCTGATCTGAGGCAACTAGAGTTCCCTTGAGGAAAATCCCCATCTGATTGGGACTAAGCTTGACAGAGGAAAAATTGCCTAGAGGAATATTTGGAGGGAAAACTGATGACCATGGGAGGAATTTGACATTCCTCTCCTTACTTGCTATTTTTCCGCTAGAAATCCTCCCTTCACCTTCATGTTGGTGACTCTTGTCAAACATGTTTTCCAGGGTAATGCAGTTTTGCCATTAGCTATCCTACATTTTATCATGGCTTCACCTTCTGGTTTCCTTGTCTGTTATTCAACCAAGTTTTATTTAGGGTGGACCACTAAAATAAATTAACATGACGAAGTAAGGTCCATTAATTTCAATAGGCATACTCTGAATCAAACTTAGTTGAACTCTTTCTCTCCAAGGTGAAGATAGTTCAGATAGATTTAAAAGATAGACTTTACTTTTTAAAAAAGTTGTGTTGGACTGACCATTTGTTTGTGGATTTGATTCCTGTGGAATTTTTCAGTAGCATAACAAAGCATCGGCTGGCTACATCTGTTGCCCCAAAGGTGTTAGGTAGGATTTGAACCACCTTGGGGGCAATGAATTTTTTCACACTATTCTGGACAGCCTGATTTTCTTAATGTGCAGGGAAACTGATGAATACCACTGCTTATTTAAATTGAGTGGCTTGGGAATCATGATTAGTCGAACGGCCTGCTGCTGCTGAATATTCTGCTGCAAAAGTTTTTTGCAGTATGTAAATAAGATTTTTTTTTTATCAGATGCTAAAATTCATAGTGATTATTTCTCCTTAAGATGATGACCTAATTTTGCACTTCTGACTACTGCTGGTGGTGATGGGGAATTCCACAGACAGAAATATGCATGTAATGTTTCACAGAAATTCTAACATCTTTATATAAGGCTACAATATAGACTTGTATACTATGCGAGTTCTTACCAATTTTTTGTTGAATAACAGTGTTTGCATGGGTTGAATCACAGTATTTGCATGGTTTTCAATGTGTGAAGGAAAGTATACTGCTGAAATAACGAGAGCCAGCCAGTTTGTAAAAACTGTTTCCCCTATGGTTTTATGTAAATGGCTTTTGAGTTGCACATCTATGTATATGATATGTTCAGTTATCTCTCAGGAAGATTCACGGAGGTGGCAGCCTTCTGAATATATGAGCAAATCCGGTTTGGGTATCAGTTTGGACATATTTCTGTGTCTTGGATTTCAGTGAATTTAACTCATAATATTAGGCTTTGAAATGTATCATTTTCATGTGGCAGTGTGGCTCCCTTGCCATCTCATGTTCTGAACCCTTTTCTTAAGACTGTTCATGCAGAAATGAAGAAAAGCTTCACTTAGCAGATAATACTGGGAAAGATGAAACAATATGGGTCACTATAAGACGTCATTGCATTATAAGACGCAAGGCTTTGGGGGTCAACTCATGAGATGCTTGCAAAAAGCACATCCTGAAGCAGTGGCCTAAAAGGAAAGGATTGTAATACAACTTTTTGTGAAAATCTTGCCACCAGACCTGTTGTTCAAAAAGTCACCAGCTCTGTTAAATTTTACCTAGCTTGTTTTTTATTCTGAGAGCTCTGGCCACAAGTTTCAATATAAGGAATAATTCCTACTCAAGAGTTGAAAAGAAAAACGTGTGTATTCTGCTAAGAATAACAGTTAGAAACTAATAGTAAATTTAAACACAGCGTGTAAGTGCGATAGTTTTAAAGTAATAGTAAATTTAGATACAACGTTTAAGTACAGAAATAATGTAGTTTCAAATATGCAGAATATAGTATAAAGGTACATAAAATACCAGTACACAACAATTGTTTTATACAAGTCTCAATGGCAGTCAAAAGAGTCCATATTGTATAAAATCAGAATAAAGAATGAAGAATCAAATAGGGCCAAAAAGGAGTATCCGGAGTGTGAATCAGATGTACGACTCAGTAGTGGTGACCAGGACAGGGCCCTGTTTCGGAGTAAACGCCTTCTTCAGCTGGTAATATCAAATAATATGTCAAAATAGATCAAGATTCTTCAATATCATAGATCATAAATATAATAAAGTATATACATTCTAGAGTGTATTAACACATATCATGATATTTGGTTCCATACCTCGGTTTTTTGAGGACTATAACTGTTGGAAGTCTATATCATTTAATTCTTTTATGTTTCTTTTTCGACATGCTATAACCATAGAAGAAAATGGTATGAACAGCTGGAGCAGCAAATGGCAGCAATGTTGTTCTTCATAAAGCAAGTGCTAATGCAGCACATATGTCAAGAGGGAGACTACAATATTTGTGAACATAGCCTTGTGTGCCTTTTGGCGGCTTCCATCCTAGCATAAGTGTGAAGTGTGTGTGTGTGTGTGTGTGTGTGAGAGAGAGAGAGAGAGAGAGAATAAAGATTGGTTCCCCCTATATTATGGCACTTCAAGTGAGATTGGTTTTAGGTATCTATCCTGGAGCGGGATCTATCCCGCATTTCTTGAGAGTTCCTCTAATTATCTCACATTATTAGGCTATTTATATGTATCTCTTTCCAAAGCAATTAGATTAAGGCTTGAGTAAGATGTAGGGTGGCAAGTTTAAGTAATTCTATATTATGTGGCCTGTGTTCTTGGCAAGAAAAAGAAGGCTCCCCCTCTCCGCCACCCTTTAC